TGAATTGGCACCAATGCAAAAGGTTAGGACTGAATTGGCACCAAAAAAAGGTTTAAGACTAAATTGGCACAAATGCAAAAGGTTTAGGACTGAATTGGTACCAAAAAAAGGTTTATGTCTAAATTGGCACAAATGCAAAAGGTTTAAGACTTTTTTGGTACTTTTCCCCCTAAACCTGTACAAATGCCAATTCAGTAATAAACTTTCTAATTTTGCCAATTTAGTCTTAAACCTTTTCGCGAAATTCTAATATAGTCATTCCGGTAATTTTTCGTTGGAAATCATTGATGTGGCGGTGTGCCACGTAGGAAAGCCGGCAATGATTAGACCACTAAATCGGTAATTTTTGACGAAAATTGATTGGAAGGATTACATTCAAATTTTGCGCAAATGTTTAGGACGAAATTGGCAAATTTGAAAAATTTAATACTGAATTGATATCTGTGCAATAGATTTATGACCAATTGGATAATTTTTACCGATATCTATCTCTTGGCTAAATCTGTGCTGTCTCGGCTTGATCTGCCCGTCCATTTGAGCAAGTCTAGTTGGGCCATCGGCGATATTACTTCATTAGTCATTGCCTTACATCAATGCGAGACAAATTTCACGGCCACACCAAGCAAAAATCTCGTTGGAGCTTTTTAGATGGAGTGGGTTACAATCATGCCATCGAGAATGGTCCCTAAAGTATTCCCTTTGACCACACTTCTATTTATTTTCTCATCGAAAGCACTTTTCTTGCACTTGTCGTTTGCTCATGTTGGGTAAAGGCTAGTATAGTTTTAAAACACAGATGGCAATTTATACAAGCTTTTAAGAAATAATCTCACCTAACTTTTATGGTTTGCAGCTTTAAAATATGAAATACCAATACACAAATTGCAACACTTAACAACACAAATTTCAACACAAAAGAGTTACTGTTCTGCCACAACTATATACCAAATCGACTCTTAAATCAATTTCAGACGAGGCATCATGCAATTCTAGAATGAGCTTGGTGAGATATTCCTTTGGATAGAATTGATTTATTTGTCCCGTTCATGAACGTAGTGATGATCCTAAATTGCCATGATTGGACGTTAATGGAGCATTCGAGTTCATGTGTTTCTTGCCCTCATCTAGAATGTACTGATTTTTCTAATATGCTCATGATGCATATCAACATCTATGCTGACAATGTTATGATTTCTCAGGTAAAAGTAAGTGGAGATGCACATGCGACGACTAGACCTAGTCTTAGGGAAATATGATGCAAGATCCCGTCCATGTGATATTGTAAAAACCGGCCCGATCCATTTGAGTTAAGAAATCATAAGAAATACTCCGAGTAACCACACAAGATGATGATTATTTGAAGTGAGTGCTAACTTTTGAATCACTTAAAATGGCCAAGAGCCGCACTTCATTCGAGCCCTCTCGCAGCGGTGATAACTCGCTACTCTCGTCTGCCGGAGGGTATAGTCCATTCACGAACCACACTTCTACCGGAGGGGATCTTGTCTGTTACCATTGTAATAACTCGGTTCGGACCACCTGGATCAGCCTCCGAAAGGAGTATTCCAAATAACCTCACAAGGGGACGGCCATTTAAGGATAAGTGTTAACTTATGGGTTTACTCGACAAGGCATGTCCCGATCGATGCGGGCCTTGGAGTGGTTTGTATGTACTTTCACATCAATTTGAATGGAAGTTATAACTTTTCCATGAAGATTCCTCGCAGGCCCATTCTTTCCAAGGAAGTACGCGTTTTTCCATGGTGGACAAAAAAGGTAGTAGGTGGTTTGGAAACAAAGCACGAGGATTCATCTAGAAAATGTTGACCCCGCGGTACGATTTGAATTAGATATGGAACTTAAGTGCACAATAATGTTTGGACGATCAACATTGACCCTAAATTCTGGTCCCAGCAAAAAGAGAAGTGGATCTTAAATGTGAGGATTCTCTCATTGGATTGGGAGGTAACCTTTTCCCGGCTGCAGTACTCCGCGTGTCAGCATCAAAAGACTCAATGATTTTCCAAGCGGCGGAGCTAGAGCTATGTATCCAATTACATATCTGCCATTTAGCTAAACTTTAATTAGCCAAAAAAAAAATCCTTTTGTTCACCTTTGTGAGGAAATAAAAGATTGGACTGGGATGAAGGGAAAATTAACTAATCAGTATCAAATCCTTTGAACAGATGTCATTCAGTCATGAATTTTTTAATTTTGCTAAATTAGTGCTAAATCTTTGTGCGAAAATTCAATGTATTCCTACCAATTAATTTGCGCCAGACGTGGAGGTCCAAGCATCGTCAGCCATTCTATGTGGCATATTGCCGCGTCTGCGATTTTCTGCAAGAATTGGACAAAAGGATTATATTGGAATTTCTTGCAAATATTTAGGATTAAATTGATAAAAATTTGAGACTGAATTAGAAGCCGTACAATAAGTTTAAGATTGATTGGACAATTATCCCTTGGGATGAACGATCCCCATGAACACAAAGACATGGAAACATTTCAATTTGCATATAGCTGGCATTTGAATAACTGGATCTGGTGAATTTCATATAAGATCCATTTACGATGAATCGAATGTATTATGTGCATACATTTTAAAATTTTACGAGTGATGAAAAAGTTGCATCATTAGTTGTATTCTTAGAATAAATCCATTATAGAAGAAGGTTCATAAAATTAAATAATTTATAGTAATAGGGTTGGATTGGAATGATCATTTCAAACATGTCCATTGCTTCAGTGCTTCGGAACATACCCACGAACCCAATAATGAGTTCTGCCAGTGCGAGGCCCCTTCGTACTTTTGCAATTATAACCTCACGATCACGCGGGGCTAGCGCACGAACGTGCACTAGGCTAAAGGTCCTTTGAAGACCTGTCAGCTTTACTTTGATGGAGAAATTTGGACCATTTTATGGTCAACTAATTGGAGAGTATGCTCATGATTGAAAAAATAAAATAAAATCGGAGAGTATGCCTTTTGGGACCACAGACGCTGTGATCCAAAGGAATTGAAAAAAAAGAAACATTCGAAATTCTTAAAAAAGAAAAATAAATTCTTAAAAAAAAGAGAAAATTCTCGATGAATTTTAAAGAGGACTCGTGTTTATGTGGATTCGGTTGTTGGATCGATTATGTCTAAAATCTTATTCAAGATACACAAGAGAAATGCGCAAATGCACTAAGAAGGAATATTACAAGTCATATGTTAGGTTAAGAAGAGCCTTAAAATTAAACGAGTGAAACGTAAAAAGATCTCTTAACAGCATCTGAATGTCAACAGGGTCAATTACCAAAAAAATCCTAAACCTATTACACTTGTACCAATTCGGTCCTAAAATTTTAAATTGTGCTAATTGAGTTATAAACTTTTTTATATTTTGCTAATTGAGTCAATCCTGCTAATTTTTGTTAGAAATTACTGACGTGGATATCGGCCGTTCTACGTGGTATGGCCGGAGCTGACATGGACATTTTAAAATAATATTTTGATAATTTTTGAAACTTCTAATTTTTTTATTTTTTTTATTTTTTTTTTACTTTTTTTTGGACTGAGGGCCGACAAGGGTTGCTGGCGACCCTCACTGACACTAGGCAAGGGCATCGCAGCCCCAGTGAGGGCCTAGGCGAGGGTTGTGACACCCTCGTCGGCCAAAGCGAGGGCGCACAGCCCCTAGCCTAGATGGCGAGGGCCGCGGCGCCCTAGATCGAGCGAGGGCTGGGACTCCCACGCTTATGGCCTGCGAGGGCATCCCGGCCTTGGCTTGTGGCCAGCAAGGGTTAGCCGGCGACTTTGCCAGTCCTCAGTCCAGAAAAAGAAAAAAACTAAGGAAAAAAAAAGAAAAAAAGAAAAAGAAAAAATTATTAAAATATTATTAGAAACTATCCACGGAGCGCCGGCCGTGCTACGTAGGAAGGCTAGCGATTTCCGGTCAAAATTGGCCGGAAAGACTCAATTGGCAAAATGTGAAAATGTTTAAGATTTAATTTTTTTTTATTGAAGTTTAAAACTTAATTGACACAATAAAAAAATTTAGGATTAAACTGGCACAAATGCAATAAATCTAAGACTTTTTTGGTAATTTCGCTAATATGCACATCTCTCGTGTTTTTCCTAAGCCACATAAGAAAAACACTCGATCGTGTTGAGCCAGTCAGTGGAAGCTCAATTCAACGAAACTGCAAAAGTCGTTGTCTTTGTCCTTATTGAAGCCCACGATGTGAAATCGACAAATTAAAAGGTTGTTGAATTTTCTTATCCAAATTCATAATCAATGGGACACATGCCGGCTCGTGTTTAACTTTATATTGAGCTAGTCCTTTTTATCAAGAGGTTCTTGAATATTTCATGACCTCAAGGGTTGCTGATTACTTACGCTAATACATTACAAAACTTCGCCCATAAGATGTCCACGGAGCATAGACTTCCTATTGAAGTGACAAATCGAAAGGCAAAAAATTAGAATGGTTGCGGTACATGATCTTCTACAAATAGCATGAAGATAACATATTAAGTAGAGTATCAACGAGTTGATTATTTAGAGATTTTTTTGATTTGCTCCCGGATACTCTACTTGATGCCTTATTTTCATGTTGATTTGTAGAAGATTCTGCACTGCAGCCATTTCGTTTTTTTTATTTTTGATTTGTTACTTCAATACTTTCAATAAAAAAAAGTTATACCGGTATTATTTTCTTTCAAATATAACGTACTTTTCTTTGGCCAAATGAACTTAATTGACTTGATTTTGTAGTTGAATTAAGAAGTCCAGAGCATATTAACGATGTTACATCAAGTAGGTTTCATATAAGACTTATATGGTCTAACGATTGAAATCAAGTGACTTCACATGTAACAGATGTATGTACGAATATTTCGGGAATAAGTGCTCATATCACTTCAAATTGTGGCCCATGCCGTTAGATGCCTATATATGCTTGTGAAGGTGTCACGTTTCTCAACCCTCCGCCTTTGGATTAGTCACTTCATTGTCCAACTAAGTTTGGAATTCTTCATGAACACACTGCATACCATGACTCTTCCTCGTCTCTCTTTCATCATCTCCTTCATATTGTACACAGCTTCGATTTCTGGACAGAAACTCTACACTCCGACGCTGAGCCTACAACGCCGAGACGTCTTCCGAGACCGGGAACGTGTGGTTTCGGCATCCATAACTAACAGTTTCGAAACATTCTTCTTCAACCAAACGCTCGATCATTTCAACTATAGACCCGAGAGCTACACCACCTTCAAACAGAGATACTTGATCAACTCCAACTATTGGGGTGGCGCAAATTCTAGTGCACCGATCTTCGTTTACCTCGGCGCTGAATCGCCAATCGACGGAGCCCCGACTGTGATAGGGTTTCTGACCGATAACGCAGCTCAATTCAAGGCTTTATTAGTTTATATTGAGGTAATACATTTGAATTCTACCATTTCCTTCTCAGCCCATGCATGAATGTGCTTTTTGTCTAATTTAAGCTTCTTCTAACTACGTAATTAAATTCTTCTTTTCCTTGTGGAATTTTTCTTGACAGCATCGGTATTATGGTGAGTCAATTCCACTTGGGATGAGCTTCGAAGAAGCTCTCAATGATACAAATATTCGCGGGTATTTTAGCTCGGCCCAAGCTTTGGCCGATTATGCAGCCATTATCATGCACGTGAAGCGGAAATTAAAAGCCAGAGATTCTCCAGTTATTGTGGTGGGAGGATCATATGGAGGAAGTAAGTGCAATGTGTATAATATTCTATCCATATTTGTGTATGGTAGAAAGAAATAATCGAAAAAGGGGTCCACCAGAAGTTTGACGGGTTCTGATATCAGTTCTCTGTTGACTATGTAAAATAACCAATGATACGTGAAAATGATGAGTTGTTTTTTTTGGTAAGGATGAAAATGATGAGTTGTTGTTGTCATTTATTTTCAACAACAACAGTAATTCCTTTTTTTACGCGAGAAAGATATATTATATCGTTATATTAAGTTGTTGAATTCTAACAGCTAATGCGAATTTCAGAGCTTGCTTCGTGGTTTCGGCTAAAATATCCGCACGTGACCCTCGGAGCTCTGGCCTCATCGGCTCCAATACTGTATTTCGACGATATTACCCCGCAGGATGCATACTATTCTGTGGTCACCAAGGATTTTAAGGTAATTGCACCCGTAATTTCTCTTCTTCTCCTTTTGTTCTAATAGTGGAGTGTGCGGCACTTTTTGAGCATCCAAAGAATATCCATTAATTGACGCAAAATCCCTATCTTCCCATTTTACGCACGCAAGGTAAGTACATGAGTACACACACTCTTGCTCCTAGGGGATGGAATCAACAGAATTCAAGGGTATAGTTATGTGTAACCGTAGCTTCAGTGAGAAAGACATACAAATTTATTGTCTGAATAATCTTTAGAATCTAAATATCTATTCACTGTTTTTCATTATTAGTCTCAAACCATGGTCTTTTTGCACAGGAAGCTAGCGAGACTTGCTACCAAACTATAGGAGACTCGTGGTCAGAGATCGATAGAGTTCTTCAGGAGCCTAATGGCCTTTCAAACTTAAGCAAGATGTTCAAGACTTGCAAGTATGTGATCTGATCTGTCATAATCGAGTGCTATAGAGTATTCCCCTTCCAATTTCTCAATTTAAGGGAGTTGAATTGACTCAATTCACCTTCTGAGATCAGGAACCTAATCCGCGCTCACTCTTCAGTTCGGGACGAAGTTTCATGATCTTCGAGGCTGAATTGAGTCTTCGAGAATGCGCGTAAATGTTAATTTATGAAGGAGACAAAATCAGTCATAGAATAATTACTGCTTCTTTTTGTGTGTGTACTGTGTAGGCCTTTGGAGAGTGGGGATGAGCTGAAGAACTACTTGATATTGTTGTACGCGGGAGCAGCTCAATATGATGATCCACCAAGATATCCGGTGACAGTGATATGCAAGGGCATTGATGGAGCAAATACCACCGAAAATGGCATTCTTGGCAAGATATTTGCAGGCGTTGTGGCCTACTACGCGAACTCCGCATGCTACGTCAATCCTCCCACTAAAGTTTCTGAAACTAGCCTGGGTTGGAGGTGGCAGGTACAATACTCTAAATTATCACATTTAAGCATTCGAGGAGGCCCGATGGGTCTCAGGTTACTTAAAGGGAGATTTACTTGCAGAGCTGCAGCGAAATGGTAATGCCCATCGGCATCACAAACAATTCTATGTTCCAACCAGACCCTTTCGTCTTGAGCAGCTTCATTGATTATTGCGTCTCCCTGTATGGCGTCGCGCCTCGTCCGCATTGGGTCACTACGTACTACGGTGGTCATGTATGATTACCGATGGTTCTTGGAATATATGCGTTCGGCTCTTATTTCGATCAGTAAATTAAATTGTTTCCTACGCATGAAATTCAAAGTAAATTTTACCATTGTCGTTCCCTACCTTTTTTTTTTTGTTGTTGCAGGATATAGAGCTAGTTCTTCGTAGGTTCGGCAGCAACATTATTTTCTCAAATGGACTCCGAGATCCTTATAGTAGCGCGGGGTATATAACATTATATGCTTATCTCCACACATTTGAATAATTAAAAATTTTACATTACATAATAGTTAATAATTCTATCTCTTTTTCTATCTTAGGGTCCTGAAGAACATTTCTGACAGTATCATTGCCGTCTACACAAAGAAAGGTATATAACCAGGCAATGTGTGTGTTGTTTGCGACTTGTCTTATGCACCCGTGAATCACATAAGAGAAGAACAAGATTGATGCATGCTAATTTTTTTTTCACTGGAACTTGAATGCTCTCATCTGTGAGTGTATGCCTTGCAGGTTCCCATTGTTTGGATATACTTGCAAAGAAGCAAACCGATCCAGACTGGTTGGTCATGCAACGAAAAACCGAAGTTGACATTATAAAAGGGTGGATAGCCAAATATTATGCCGATCTTCTTGCTTTCAAACAATGATATGATGAGATGTTATAGCCATAAATATGGATGGTGAATCGATTCGGAAAGGCCATTTCGATAACAAATGAGAACAAAAGAATAAGGTCTATGTATCTCACCATAAAGTTATCCTTGTATTTCGTTGCTCCATTAGAACGAGCTCTTAATCAAGGAAATCAAAATGACTTCCCCCAATTTTATATTTATGCCATGTATTTGGTTCATAACAAGCTTCCAGTTAATTGGCCCACAATTAAAACTGGTTTTTTTTTTTCACTGATTTAGCATAGATTTTCATTTTATTTTGACTTTCATATATTGCGGTATGGGTTTATGGATTCACATTCAACACAAGAACTTAGGAACATATGAAATTAAACATTTATCTAATGAATGAAATATTTTTTTTTGAGCTGCTCACAATTGTAAAAGTAGAAAGCTTAACACGGTCTGACGAAAAAAAAATGCACAAGTCTGGCTTAACACATAAATTAAGAAGAGCATTTAAATGTCAATGTGGGCACCGAGTCGAACTTAATCATGGAACGAGCAAAAAGTAAAAAGTTCTTCATAAGACTCGAGGAAAAACTAGGTTATTCACCAATGACAAAGCGTCGAAACTTGGTACTATTCTCCACCCACATATTTATTTTCATAAGATACGACACATCCCTCGTGCTTTTCCTAAGCGACATGTGCGAACGACAGTCGGTCGTGTTGAGCCAGTCAATGGAAGCTCGGTTCGTGGGCAATACACATGCCGATTGTAGTTGTCATTATTGAAGCCCCGCAATGTGAAATCGACAGGATAAAAGGTGATTTTTTTTTTTGGTCAGAAAAGGAATCGACTTTCATTACTGGAGATAAGTACGTGGATACACTTCGTTTGCTTCAGAACAAAGAAGCTCTAAGAGGGGTGAGGGGGGGTTCAAAAGCCAATTTCGTGGTAATCTATTTTTACACTGAGCTTTAACTACCCAATCAGCAACTCTGTTGGACTCTCTATTAACATGGGCTAACTTTAAATCCTTGAAAGGCTTGAGGAGCGAATGGGCTTTTTTGATAAGGCCTTGTACTTCCCAGCCGATTTGCGCTCCGCCAGTAAGTGCGCTTATCAGATCAAAATGGTTTGACTCCACTGTAAGTGAGACTTCAGTTCGCGTGGAAAAATACATGAGAGTTTCCACCATGGCTTGCGCCTCTGCCTGAGTTGCTGAAGACGCCCTAATAGATCTCGCGAAGCCATCAATTAGTTTCCCAGAGTTATCACAGCAGACACCGGCCACTGCACCTTCATTTGTTCCAGGCAAGTAGGCTCCATCGATATTAATTTTTAGTTCTTCCGGTTCTGGTGGCCGCCATTGGTGGAGGCAGAAGCTTGCTGCTGTTGTAGTTTTCTTCTTCCCAGGGAGCCACCGATCATGATTTCGTTTCATTACAGTTGCTTCAGCCATTACTTCCTCTGGGTTTGGCTTTTGCCCTCGAAAAACAGAGTGGTTTCGAGTTTTCCAAATTTGCCAAAGAACAAACGTTAGAAGCTCAAAAGTTACCGAGGTATGTTTAAAGTCAGCTAACCACACTTCGAATCGCGTCAAACCTTGAGCGGAGACATTGATGTTCAGAGCTGTATTTTTCCAGATTTTCCTCGTCCATGGACAAAGAAGGAGAGCGTGTTCTACCGTTTCAGGGCATTGATTACAGAGACTACAGAGGGGGTGTGGTAAGATCTTCCTTCTGAAAAGGTTATCCTTGGTAGCAAGGGCATTTTGGCAAGCGCTCCATAGAATTTTTTTTATTTTGGGGTATGTGTGGGATTGCCATATCTTCATCCACAGTGATTTGGGGATTTGATAAGAGGAAGATGCCTTTTCTGAAGCTTGGTTGGTTGTTTCCTCTCTGCTACTGTTATACGCACTCTTTACAGTAAAACATCCTGATTTTGAAGGTGTCCACGCCATTCTATCTTCCATTTCCTGGCTCCCCAAGGCAGTAGCTAAGATTTCATTGCTGGTATCTGGATCAAAAAGTTCCTTTACCAGTTGCTCATTCCAGCATTCCTCTTCTTTTATAATTAGATCTGACATCAATCTAGGGTCGTTTATGTTCGAGGGTCCCCCAATCAAACCTCGTTTAAGCCATCTGTCTTCTCTAATATTAATCTTTTCCCTATTACCGACTACCCATCTGATCGATGGTTGTATGGCATCTCTTCCAATAACAAGGCTTTGCCATCCCCAAGAAGGTCTACTTCCTTTCCTAGCGCACCAAAAATTCTCCCTTGGGAAATATATTCCTTTTAGAAAACGACTCCACAAAGATGAAGGATCTTGTGATATCCGCCACGCTTGTTTTCCCAACATAGCCTTGTTGAAAGTCAACAAATCTCGAAACCTGAGGCCTCCGGCATCCTTTCTATGCTTCAAGGTTTCCCACCTTTTCCAATGCAAACCCGTTTGCTTTATGTTGTTTTTCCACCAAAACGCAGCTATCTTTTTCTCGATGGCTCGGCAAATGGAGACTGGAATTTTGAAAATGGACATCGCATACTGAGGTAGTGCTTGTACTACTGATTTAATGAGGACTTCCTTGCCCGCTTTCGTTATCAGATTTTCCTTCTAACCTTCAAGCTTCTTGTTTACTCTCGCGGTAATCCAAGCAAACATCTGTTTTTTCGATTCCCCCGAATCAGATGGAATGCCTAAATATTTGCCCATTTTGTCTATCTCAGAGACTCTCAATTGTTCTACCATATTTCTTCTTAAATTCTGTGGGCACTCCTTACTGAAAAAGATTCCCGACTTGTTTAAATTGATTGCTTGGCCTGAAGCAAAACAGTATTGGTTCAGAACTGAAGCAATATTTTGGCATTCAGTGATTGTCCCATCTAGAAAGAATATTGAGTCATCTGCGAATAACAAGTGGGATAAAGTGGGGCAGTTATTGAAACGAATTCCTTTGATGTGTTCATCCCCCACGGCTTTGTTCATCAGCACAGACAGTACATTGGCAACTAATATAAACAGATAGGGGGATAACGGATCACCTTGTTGGATACCCCTCGAAGGTTGAAAGTAGGGCAATAGCTCTCCATTTAATTTAACAATGAAAGTCACCGTAGAAACACATTGCATTATCCAGTTTACCCATTTTGTGCAAAATCCAAATTTCAGCAAGCAAGCTTCCAGGAAATCCCACTCTATTCGATCGTACGCTTTTTTCATATCTAGTTTCAGCACCGCCTGGAACTTTCTCTTTCTCTTTCTCACCCTTAGTTGATGAAGCACCTCTTGGACAATTAGAATATTGTCTTGGATTTGTCGTCCACTAACAAAAGCACTTTGCTCTTCGCATATCAAATCTGGTAGCCAAGGCTTTAGTCTGTTAGCCAGGACTTTTGAGATGATTTTATAAATAAAATTGCACAAACTTATAGGACGATACTGTTCCAGTGTCTCCGGGTTAGGTACTTTGGGAATAAAGACAATATGAGTCTTGTTTAAAATTGGATTTAACATTCCGGACGTAAAGAAATTTTGCACATCCTTGAATACACCATGCTGAACCTCTTCCCAAAAGTGTTGATAGAATTGCCCATTTAGTCCATCCGGCCCTGGTGCCTTAGTGGATCCCAACTGGAAAACTGCTGCCTTTACTTCCTCTAGTGTCACTTCAGTTGTTAGACAGCAGTTTATTTCTTCTCCAACCAAGTTGTGACAATTTTCTAACACTGGTTGAAAATTGCGAGAGCCCTCTGAAGTATAAAGGTTCTTAAAGAAATTCTCCGTTGATTGCTTTAATTGATCAACATCTCGTATCCATTCCTCATTTTCAGATTTCAGCATTGTAATTCTATTTCTCTGCCGTCTTTGTATGATTGTAGCATGAAAATACCTTGTATTTTTGTCTCCCCACTTTAACCATTTTATTCTCGATCTTAATCCCCAGTACATTTCTTCCTGTCTCCACAATTTTTCGATTTCTTCCGTCAGCGATTGAACTCTTTGTCGAGCTTGTCCTCCACTTGAATGGTTTGTAAGTTGCTGGATTTCCTTCTTTAGGCTCTTGATTCGTTTATGAGCATTTGTGAACTTGCTTTTACTCCAGGCTTCTAGTTCACCAGAAACTTTTTGTATCTTTGTCAACAAATTCTGGTTTGTATCTTCTGCCTTCAGCCAAGCATCCCTTACTATTTCCCCATATTCAAACTCTTCCAGCCAGAAAGCTTCAAACTTAAATTCCTTTCTCCTTTTTGCGTGTCCTAGGGATAGAGAAATTAATAGCGGGCTATGGTTGGACCCAATAGCCGGTAATGCATAAACCTCTGCTTCCGGGAAAGTGACTCTCCACTCCATAGAACATACCGCTCGATCTAGTCTTTCCTTCACATATGCATCCCCTTTCCTATTGTTAGCCCATGTATATGCACACCCTTTGCTCTCTAGGTCCATGAGGCAGCAAGAATCTAAGAAATCCTGAAAAGCCTTCATTCTGTAATTCTCCGCCATCCGCTTTCCAACTTTTTCCCATAGGTAAAGAACTTCATTGAAATCCCCAGCACAAACCCATGGAAGGTTGTTGGAGTAACTTATCTGATACAATTCTCCCCAAAGGTGAAGTCTTGCTTGAAAGTCATTTGGTGCATAAACAAAGGTGATGCGCATTCTTCGCCTACTTGCTATCAGCTCCCCAACCACATCCACAAAATGTGGAGAGTGAGACTCCACTTTAATCGAGATTCTATCATCCCAAATGAGTGCCAACCCCCCTGCGATCCCTACTGGATTCACCACAAAAAAGTTCTGATACTGCAAACGTTGCTTTAAACGAAATACCACTTCTTCTTGATTTTTTGTTTCCATTAAGAACAGCAAACTGGGCCTCTCCTCAGCCACTAGGGCTTGGATGGCTTGAATTGTCAAGGGTGTGCCCAACCCCTGACAATTCCAACACAGAAGTTTCATGTGTAACCCGGTGGCTTGTTCGGGCTAGCCACCAGAGCCCATTGTTCATTCCCTGATGCCAATTGGACAGGGGTTTCAAGTAACTGGGTTTCGTCAAGTACCGACATGTTAGATTGTTGAGTATTGTAGGGTTTGTACCTCCTCGCTTTCTTGCCAACTGGACTTTTCTTTTCACAAAACTTTTTCTTCTTATAGACTAGGACTATGGCCTTAATTGCCTCTGTTTGTGCAAGA